TGTAAAGGTCATTTTGGCATTTTTAAAACTTTTTTTCCTTTTTTCCAATGTTTTGAGTAAAACATCGGTGGTCACTCCTTCAAACTCTTTTCAAAACCATTAATTAGGGATTAGTCTGGTGTTTGGGCATTCCCTAATTAATGAGATTTTCAAAAAGGAAGTATGAAACCATCTATGAGCAAGATCAAAATTTTTTGGGTTCTGATAGATGATAACTCCACTAGGGAAAATTAAAGAGGGTAGGGCCCAAATAAATTATGAATTAGCAAAATAAGAATAATAGTTCAAATATTGGTTCCCTTTACTTTGTTTTCTTTGTATGTATTTACTTTGTTTGCTTTATATCTATATGTTTGAAATAAACAACTGTACAAAAATCCTTGCACATAACAGTTCCCTCTATACCCAAGGGCATGAGCGCGTAAACATAGGTAGTGGTTGACGTACGACCGTCCCAAGTATGGCCTTAGAGCCTGCAAGCCTTGTCAGAAATCACACTCAAGGTGATAACCAATTACTCTAGCCCGAAATATTGCGTCAAACCTTAGAGTTTGCAAAATGACAATGACAGAGGTATTGGGTCCCTATAATGAGGGCATCTTAAGAGCCTTTAAAGACTAGTGAGGATAACTAGAACCTTCCTATGCCAACACGTTCTTTGATAGGGACCATAGACCATGGATTTGTGTCATTCGCGGATTACTTTGTGTTAGCATATATTTGTTGAATTTGTGTGTTTCATTTTTTTCTAATGGATAAAGATTATAGGAAAATAAAAGCTAATACCTTTTTGTAAGCCCTATCTAAGCATCATATAGGTTAGTTTATTTTAAAAATAAAATAAAAATATGCATCATAACCCTTAGTCAAATAAAACATGATAATACTTAGGCAGAAAATCACATGTCATGTATTTCTTTAGGATAGTAATTAATAAAAATTTATTTAGAGATATGGAAGACATAGACAATAGCATGCATGGATTGTTGAGGAAGGTGAACATTATGAATTATGTAATGCCAAGAGTCAGCAACTTATGCGCTCTAATGCCAAGAGAAGTCAAGGCTGACTTTGAAAAATGCTATGGAAGAATCCTTAACCTATTAAGGATATCTTGATGGAGGACCATTCTTGGAACTTCATGTGGGACCCATCACTAGGTCCATGGCTATGGATTGTTGCATGGTCTTATCATGCACCTAGTTGTAGCTTAGCCAAACCCAAAGATTCCATCCTTGGCCACCAAGTAGGATCTAGGGTTAATTTGAGTTTCATTTGGAGTGCATTTGGCATTGCAATTTTCGGACATACACTTCCAAATGCAACCCTAAATGCTCCATCCCCTATAAATACCCTAAACCATGCACCTTGTAAATACTTTGGATGTTGAATATATAGAGAGCATTTGTGCCTTTATATCATTCCTTAGTCACCCTTGGCTAATTCGGCCACCACCCTACCATCTCCACCTTGAGAGAAACAAACCTAGAGTGGCCTCCATCTTCATCTTGGAGTGAGCCAACCATACTTGAGCTTCCATCAAAACACCTAAACCTTCTCCCACCTTTCACGCCCAAAACCCTTCACCCATAAACGTCCACTTTTCTCTTCAAAGGCTACTCTCCCTTGGTGCGCCTAGATCATTGGGGCAAAGGTGACCCTGTTCAAAAACATTTTTATCATCCATGGAAGGGAGGTCTCCATCAAGGGAAGTCTTAGGTTTCATTAGCATTTGATTTGAATGGCATTTTCATTGCATTTGAGCATGCATGGAAGTCACCAGCGGTGTGCTTCTTGCATGACTCAAATGCAAGTGAAATGCCTCCAAATCAAATGCTGAATGAGGCCTAAGATCCATGTAGCAAGTGTGGGATAGCCAAAGCCTCCCAAATTTGAATTTCAAATTCAAATTTAGGCGGCAAAGGTTACGAATTAAACATAGTTAGGTTAATTGTTAACCCTAGTTAGCTTAGCTTCCCCTACAAGCTACCTATGTCTATATATTTGTATTTTCAGCCATTTGTATCACTTTTTGATGTTAATTGATCAAAAAATTTTAGAAATTCTCTATACTTTCAAAGGTCCAATCCTAGGAGAAAGTCTTCTCCTTAAGAACCTTCACAAAGGATTGCTTCATTTGTTCCTTGGTTCCCTCTTCTCCCTATTCAAGGAGATTATCGTGCCTCCATTGCTGCTTCTTCAAGCTTTTAAGAGCTTGAACTTTATTCTTGATGTTCCTCAAGAGAAGATGGATGTGAATATGGAGCTAGTTGAAGAACATCAACCACTTCTTCTAGTGATTTCTATCAAAAACTCACCTTAGCAAGAGTGATACTAGATTCTTGCCAACCAATCATCAACTAACTGATCCCCAGAAGATGCCTAGAAAGGCATCAAAATACTTGTGTAGCGGGAAGAATACAAAATTCTCGCCATACATCCCCAACACAAACTCTTATAGAGACATTACAATACTCACATAATAGGAACAACACCAGAATCCCTTCCACACATCTCATTCCCCAACGAAGACACGTGGAGAGGCATCACAATACTCACATGGCAGGAACAATATCAGAAACCCTGCCACATATGTCATCCCCAGTGGAGACACTTGGAGAGGTATCACAATACTCAATATCACACAACAAAGTACATGCTCGGAAGAGGTTGTTGGACCCTCAAAACCTGTACAAGCTCAAAAAGGGTTATTGGACCATCAAAACTAGTACAAGCTCGAAAAAGGTTGATAGATTCTCAAAACTAGTACAAGCTTGGAAAAGGTTTTTGGATCCTCAAAACTAGTACAAGCTCGCAAAAGTTTGTTGGACCCTCAACCTAACCTCAATACCCGTTTTGAATTCAGAACGACCCGTTCTGGTGGATTTTTGTGACTATAAATAGGAGGCTCGTGAACAGTATTAAGGGCCAAAAATTTAGACTCTAAAAGGTCTCTATAGAATCTATACATTTTTTTCTTCTCCCCTTGTACTTCTTGAGAGTTGTGAGGTATATTGTAGTGTGTCAAGGCTGCCAAAACGTGCCTTTAACCCATATTTGAAGAACATTTTATAAAAGCTCGCTCAAGACGTATTCCCACCAATCTTCTTCTCTATTTTCTACTTCTTTTATTGTAAATATTGTTATAACTAAAATGGACAATCATGTACATGTCTTAGGGTAAATTGGGTAATTTAAGTTTAAAGCATGTAAATAACCATTAATAAAAGGAACCGAATATTTAAATTGTTATTCTCCATCGCGCTAATTTCATCATAGGGTATCAATTTAGGGCATCATAGGGTGCCTAACACCTTCCTTACACATAATTGACCCTCGAGCCCAAATTCTGGTTGTAAAGGCCATTTTGGAATTTTTTTAAAAAAAAATTCCTTTTTTATGATATTTTGGGTAAAACATCGATGGCGACTCCTTCGAACTCTTTTCAAAACCATTAGTTATGGATTAGTCTGGTGTCTAGGCATTCACTAATTGATGAGGTTTTCAAAAAGAAAGTCTAAAACCATCTGTGGGCAAGATCAAAACTTTGCGGGTTCCGATAACATGCAAGAAAATAACTTTTGTAAGGTGGAATGTGTCTTGTACTATGTACTATTTTGGTACATATTTTTCAGCAAGCACACACACTTTCTTAGCATATTTTCCAGTACAAAAACACTACTTTGTTGTCATACAAAGAAAAAGGGATGATCATGTAATGTAGGCATTTAAGAGTGACTAACCATGCATGTGTAGGAGACAAATCCACATGGAATTCAACAAACGTTTGGAGCATGTCATGAACTAAATAATATGTATGATTAACCTCTAAAAGAACTATGCAATTTTCGGCCAACCACTTAAAAGGAAGAACATGCATCACTCATTTTCATGCTACATGCATCAAATGAAGGTATTATGCATATAGTTTGTATTTGGAAGAAAAAGTGAGGGAAACACAAACTTTAGACAAAACTTGGAAAAATAAATATCAAAATGAATTTCATAAAGTGTTCATCATGTTCTTGAAAGAAAATTTCCAGCAAAGATAAAAATAAAGAGAAACACACAAGAACTTCTTTCAAAAGAACCCTAAAGAGAAGGAAAGCTCATGAACCAACAATGAACCACTCGACAAGAAGACAGTATTTTAAACAAGATTTTGAGACGATAACATCAAGACATATAAGAAGACATAGACATGACAAGGAAAATATTTAGAAGACACAAAGGAGAAGAGACAAGTTACCCTTGAAGACAACCATGGCTCTTGATACCACATGATGGAACCGGTTTCTCCATGAGAGCTAGTGGATGGTTCCTTCTCTTTTCCAAGGTTGAGATGATGATGATGATAATGCTCTCTTCAAGGGTGGAAAAATGATGCAAGGTATGTAAGGGAGGGATGAAGGTGGTGCACAAAATGGATGGTGTTTGGTATTTTAGATCCTTTATGCTAGCTCACTTCATGTAGGATGATGAAGGCCAACCATGAGAGACTCAAGCTCACTCCAAGGTAGAGAGGAGAGGAAGGGGGTCGTGGATATTCCCTAAGGGACTAAGGAAGGGATGTTAAGGCACAAAACTCACTCAATATAATTGATTTCCAATGTTTCTACAAGATGGATGGCCTAGGGTACTGTAATCGACCCCCGAATCCAATTCTGGTTATCAAGGCCATTAATGGACTTTTTAAAAAACCTTTTCTTTTTGCAATATTTTGAGTAAAATATTGGTGGTGACTCCATGAACTCATTTTTCAAAACCATTACTTAAGGATTAGTCTGGTGTCCGGACATTCCTTAATTGATGAGATTTTCAAAAGGATGTCTAAACCACAGGTCTCGAGATCGGAAATTTTTGGGTTGCGACAGGCATGAGCCTCTTATCCCATAATGCATAAAAGTAGGCATAGGTAGCATGAAACTAGTTGCACTTCATCTCAACAAATGAAGTCCATCCAACTCTGTTTAGGTAATTGCTCACAAGATACCCTTTCCCTTTATCTTCCACTTATATACTCTTTTCCTTTATCTTCCATTTATATACTCTATCTTGTAGATGTCAACAAAGTATACAACACCAAAATCAAATTCAGCTAAGGGCATGATTGGATACTAACTTAGAAACCCTTTTAAGAGTTTTTCATCTTTGCTAAAAATAATGCAGAGAAGCCCTCAAAAACGATCGTGATTCAAACTTATACCCAGACAGACTCTAATTACAATTGCACAAAAGGAAAGCAACATTTACGATTATTGTTATTATCATTACTACAAATAATTTGAACTATTCACCTGAAATTGACTCTCTGCGGCGACGCGACCTCAATGCCGGATCGAACAAAGAAAACGCCGTCGGGAGGAAAAGTGATGACGTTGTTGAGCGTCCTTTCCCGAACATCTATGACCTGCAACACGTCGCCGGCTCGGGTTCCGAACAAGGGAGCCTTCTCGATGATGAAGAGCTGCTCCTTCTCCGTCGTCCACAGCAGCCGCCACGTGGCCGACAGCGCATCGCCGGTGGTGACGGATCCGCGGCGCGCGGCGGCCATCGCGTCGATGGTTTCCACGATTGCGGCGCGCTTCGCGGGGTCGCTCTGGGTGCGAAGGCCGCGGTCCTGGTCGGCGATGAGGGCGAGGAGGTGCTCCCTGGCGGACCGCGATTGGGCGGTGACGGAGGAGCAGGTGAACCGCGGGTGAGAGTAGCGTGGGCCGGGGAGCTTAGTGGCAAAGGGGTTGGGAAGGAGGAGCGTGGCCATTGGTGTGGGGGTGGGGATGATTGTTGAGTTTCATGGCGTCTGTGGAGTGAGTGAACACTTGAAAGAATTGGCGGTTCAGAATAGAAATCTCACTCGCTGGAAGATATTGTGGGAGCCACGTGGAATGCACGTGTATATTATTAAGTCTTGTGTGAATTTTGAATAAACTTGTGTTTATATTTCCTAGATTATATTCAATGCTGTGGTCACTTTGGCAAAAAATAATATTAATACCTTTGCTATTGTTATATTAGTTAAATAACTAAATTATGGATTGTTTAAGATTTAGAAAAATTGTTTTTGTCAGTTAATATTAATAAATTTATTTTAAGTTTCTGTTTTTTTTTTAATTATTTTCAAATTATTAGGATAGTTAATAAACTTTTCAAAGTTTTTGAGTTCCATAAAAAAATATGAAATTATTTATATTTTAAAGATATAAATTAAATAAATTTTAATTATTAGTTGAACTCAAAAAATATATTTATAAAGGTATTTTTATAAAGAAAAATTAATACTTAAGACAAAATGTATTGAATTTTATAAAATAAATTAAACTAATTTAAAAATTTGGGTATTGTATAAAGTTTGTAGAGTCAAACTAAAAGAAAATTAAAAATACATGTAATCAAAGGTCCAAAATGATATCGGAGCGTTTCAAATGGATTTAATTGAGGCAAATCCTTTGGTACAAGTTGTTGAGAACGTGTTTTGAAGGCTTTCTGGCCATCTTAAATAAAAGAAATTTTTAAAAATTTAAAAGCTGCAATGACTACTTGTAGGGTTATTGTCTCGATTATGACCTTAGAAGACAAGGTGCAATGTCATCGACAAGGTGAGACATCTCCACTAATGTAGGGAACGTGTGCCAATCAGGTTTAGCAAACTTGTTGATAGATTAAAGAAAAAAGGGGTTAGAATAATTGGTGCTTCAACTTGGATTGGTGTAATTGGAGTAACTTCTAGCTACATCATTTGTATAATAGACCCATCAGTCTGTGATGGCTGCTTACCCTTGTCTACATCAGATGATAGTTGAGTAGACGAAGACTAGAGTTTGCATCTATCATAGTTAGATGAAGTTGTTGGATCGATCAAATCTTTGGTAGATAAACATAATACTTCTTTAAGGGCCAGCTATTCATCTTTCTTTCTTTGATCTTCAGCCTCTGGTTGCGACAGAGTATTGACATGCTTGAAGAGCCTTTGTTCCTCCTTCGTGGTTTAAGGCTTAAGGAAACCTCAAACCAACTTTCTCCTTTAGGACTTTGGGCGAAGAGGTGTTATTGATTGTTGTGGTGGAGGTGATGGTGACTTAGGTTTGCGAGTTGGGCGAGAGAGACGGAAGGACATGAGCTTGTCATCTAAGTCAAATGAAGACTCATGGGCATGGATGTAAAGGGATTTAGGTACATGGTCTTTTGTTTTCACTTTGGTGGTGGAAGAGAGGCTTGTGTTTGGGTCTAAAGGAGAGTTGGTGGTTGGGATTGAGAGTGGCTTTCTAGTGGTGGCCTTTTTCAAGGGAGGTTCCTTAGAAGGCTTCATCTTCACTTCAACTATGGACTTTTTCACCTGAGGAAACAAATGGGCAATTCCTATTCACTTTAGGTTGGTTATTGATGGAGTTTCCTTGAGAAGATGAAGCAATGGTTCTCCTCTTGGCTTCTCCTTGCTCCACAATCTTTCTTGAGGTCTTCAAATGCAAAGGAAGCATGAAAATATAGAGTTTATACTCTGTTTTGGTGCGGCACTCTCTTAAAGGAGAAGAAAGGAACCAAAGGCACAAAGGAAGAATTCCTTTGTGAAGGTTCTTATGGAGAAAGTTTTCTCCAAGTGTAAGAGACTCTTGAGAGAGAATTTCTAAAAATGAAATATCAAATACATCAAAAGTGGTCAGCTACAAAGGAATAGGGTATATATAGGAGATGAGTGGCTTGTATGAGAAGCTAAGTTAACTAGAGTTCAAAATAAACCATGGTATGGTTACTTTGAACTCTAAATGCTCAAATTTGGAGCTTCCTTAGCCGATCACACTCACCATGCATGCTCACATGAACCTTGAGCATTTGAAATGTAATTTAAGTGGCATTTCATTTGAGTTTGAGGCATGTGGATGGCACCTAGGCATGACCATTCATGCATGCACCAAATTCAAATGAAATGCTAACCTAAATTATATTTTAATGCACATGAAGTTCATAATAACCCTTTTAAGTCCTATACTACTTGACCTATAATACAAGGTCAAAAATAAAACTATACAGTAAATACTAAAATAAAAAGACAAAGAAAATGAGACCAATATTGGCTATGTAAAACCATTGGCCTAAAACACCCAAAATACAAGGCTAAAAGATTACAATGAAATACTCATACTCTATGTACAATCTTACTAAGCCAAGCCTCAAGATGTAGTGGCCCACGTAAAGAGTAGCTTTGGCCTAGAAAGCCCACTAACCTTAAAGCTAGTCAATCTCTCATGTATGCTCTTTGCCATGACTCTAGTAATTAGGCCTTTAGCCCAAGGTCGTCCATCAGTTACGGTGACTTCACCACCCTCCTTCCCTTTCGCCATGCCGATGGTGTCCACGTCGACCTCTTAGATGATCTTCGTGAAAAGTATCATGTAGAGAATGGGTGCTCATTTGCTCCATTCTTGGTCTCATTAATCGAGGCAAGAATTCTAGTGGTTGTAAACCAAATTGGGCAACTTAATATTCACACCTAGGCATAGATGATACAAGAAGAACCTATCCACATCAAAGACATTATCCATGGAACTAGACTAAGGGATAAATGTGTTGAATAAGAGGTTGTGGAATAGCCTGCAAAAAGGTTTTAGGTTAGCTACACATAAGTACTTCTTTTACTTTGTCTTCTCCATGGGGCGAGGAGTGGAGTACAACATCACATCCATAATTCCTGCCATGATGGTCACTTCTTAATCACCAAAATAGGAGATTTCCTCCCTCATGCAACTCGAGACAATTACTATGATGAAAGGGTTAATCCTCATGGTGGTCTAGTCCACCTATCCAATGAAGGCATTGTAGACACCCAATTTCGTCTGGGGGCACACAGACAAGGAAATGGACCTCCGTTATGAAGGGAAGGAGCTCTCGAAGTAGGCAAACAACAAGATAGTACATCAGAAGGCCTAAAGGCCAAATAAGGTGGTTTTAGTAGCCCGGAATGGGCTATTCCAAAATCGGAATGGGACGTTCCAACGTGACTAAAACACCTAAAGGGTCCTAGGCTGGAATGGGTCGTTCCAATACTAGAACGGGTCGTTCCAAACAAGTCAAATTTGGAAAGGGTCATTCTGGAAAGGGTAAATTTGTGTTAATTTCCACTCTGGAATGGGCCGTTCTATTTTCAGAACGGGCCATTCCAAGGTGCGTAATTTGCACATAAAGACTGGCCTAGAACGGGTCGTTCCGAATCCAGAATGGGCCATTCTAGCCCCCTTCTAATTCTTATAAATAGAAGCCTCGGGCACAGTTCTCAGGGCAGCCAGAGAAATTTGGAATAAGACTCTTTTGAGCACAAAAATTCTTTATCTCTCTCCCTTCTATTGTACTTCTTGAGATTTGTGTCACATCTTTATCTTCTCTCTCCCTCCTATTGTATTTCTTGAGATCTGTGAGGCATATTGTAGTTTGAAAGGTCGCCACAAAGCACCTTCTCCATATTTGAAGATTCAATAAAGCTCTTTCAAGAGGTATTTCAGTCAATCTTCTTCTCTTCCTTTTATTTCTCATCTTTGTCTCTTTTTTGTTATAATAAACGTCATAATGTAGATGTTTTAGGGTTAATCGCTTAATTTATATTTTAAGCATGTAAATAAACATTAGTAAAGGGGATTTAATATTTAATTTATTAATTCTTATCATGTTAATTTCATCATAGGGTACCGATTTAGGGTGTTGTGGGGGTGCTTAATACCTTCTCTACTCGTAATCGACCCCCGAATCCAATTCTGGTTATCAAGGCCATTAATGGACTTTTTAAAAAACCTTTTCTTTTTGCAATATTTTGAGTAAAATATTGGTGGTGACTCCATGAACTCATTTTTCAAAACCATTACTTAAGGATTAGTCTGGTGTCCGGACATTCCTTAATTGATGAGATTTTCAAAAGGATGTCTAAACCACAGGTCTCGAGATCGGAAATTTTTGGGTTGCGACAGGCATGAGCCTCTTATCCCATTTATTTCCGACCCGGACAATTTTAGGGGTCTACAATAGAGAGAGGAAAGAACTAGGGTTCATGGGAAGCATTTGGAAAAAATTTTCAAGCCTAAATGCACCCTAGATGAACCCTAAATGCAGCCTAAATGAAATGGATTCTCATCTCTCCTAAAAGACTAAAGTACCCTTAGGTCTATAAAAGAAAGAAATGGACTTTGACCTCACAAGTCAAGGTTTAAGTCCCAAAATAAGTCCTAAGACTCATTTTTCCCATAATACAAAGGCTAAATAAAAATACAAAATAAAATCCTAATATCTATTGTACCCCAAAATACAAGGGAAAAAATGGAAGAGAAAGCAAATAACTAGATAGGCTCAAGGAAAGGCTCAAAATCCACACACATGATGATCATGGCTTTAGGCATGGTGTGCTCTCCATCTTCCTCCACTTTCCTTGCCATAGACCTTGTGATAGGCCCTATATGATGCTTCAAGGATGGTCTTCCATCACCAAGTATATTGGAGATGACGTAGAATCAAATAACAAAACAAAGAGTGAGAATGAAGTACAAAAGTTACTATATATCTTGAATTGAAACAATATAGTGTGCACTATTAGAAAAAATCCTTAACAAAATTTAAATAGTCTTTACTAAAACTTTTGTATGGTATCAATGTTGGTAATATTAAAAGAGTCTACTTTTAACAATACATTAAAAGTGTTATTATAGGACATATCTAGAGAACACTTGTAATAAATAAGTACTTTCATAGGTCCTTTTCAAAATGTTCTTATTTTACAAAAACTTTATCCTAAGGCCATTTTAAACAACATTTCCTTTAAATAAATGTTGTAAGACCTGTTTAGACAGCACTTGTAATAAAATTTTCTAGATAAA